CAGGAGGAAGCAGGCCGACAAGCATGCCCAGAGGGAGACTCTGTACGATGCGTACAACATGCTGCACACGCTGGCACAGGTGTGCCCGAGGCGGTAGATTGTTTTTGACCCTCCATCAATCCCACCCAGAGAGAGAGGGAGAGAAAGAGTTGCAAGACAGCTGTGACAGACAGGATTCACGAAGAGAGTCCGACTTGCGAAAGATCCCAACTGCCAGAATTGGGTTCCAGTCCAACCCATGTATTGTTGGAACGCGTGCACAACATCACACGCTATACGCCGTGCTATTTGCCTCGCCTGGCAACGGCACACGCATGTCCTTTGTTTATTTTTCTATCGCAGCAGAGAGACGAAGAGAACGAGGTAGCCGACAAATAGGTGGTAGAGCGAACCAAGCACGAAGCAGCGTGGACTTCCTTAGTCTCTTTGTGCTTTGCTGGAATGATGCAATCAAAGCGACGCTCCAAAGGAAACATGCACACCCACCAAACCGCGCTTTTCCGGACGTTTATTAATGACACTCCGCGCATACGGAGTGCATAGCAATTGTTGGAGAAAACAACACCTTGCGGAAACTTTCAACTTTGACGAGCTCCTTGTGGGGACGAGGACTGATTGCATAACACCAGCTACCTTGTCCCACGCGCTGTGGTTCGGGCAGGGGAAGGATACTCTCTCGGATATTCCTTTCCGTGTCCCAGTATTTTTGCCTGGGGGGTTTGATGTGTTTGTGGCGCCGCGCCCAGCGTGTCGAAGTCAACCCGTATGATTCCATGAGCTATATATGCCATCGACTCAAAGTGTCCCTCTGACATGAACAGAGACGAAAAGCTCATGTACAGTCAGTAATGAGGTTGCGCGCCCCCTACCGTCTCTCGCCTCTCGAAGCATTGAAGGGGTGCTTGCTGCAGCAGACCGTAGGCCCCTCTTTGGCTTTCCCGTGATCTAGGCTATGCCCGGATCGAATGGACAGCCAGCCCCCTGGCGAACAGATGCCCGCCGAGGGAAAATATGAGCGTTGTGTGTCTCTCGACTTCCCCGTCATCCTGTTGGGTTAGTCTACCGTATATGACACAAGATAATACACCCCTGGACCGATTTTCAAAGCTCGATTACTCCACGACGAAGAGGATGCATAAACGAAACGATACATTTTCAAAAAGCTCTTGATGAGACGGTTTCAACGCCACCGTTTTCGGCGCTGTAACTGTTCCGGCAGTTGAGAAATCGAGCTTCGAAAATCGGTCAAGGGGGTGTGTTATCTTGTGTCATATACGGTATGTTGTCTGCCATCCACCGTCCCAGCTGACCAATGATGTCGCACGGCAGGGTAAACATTCACCATGACATCACCCTGCTTCCCGATCTGTAGATGTTGTGGTATGTAGTTCTTGGCGTAACAATGCGTGTGCCGCGACAAACGGACATGTATCGCCACCGCGCGCTCGAAAGAGAGCAGGTTGGAACAAGGGTTTGAGAATATGAGGGCCAGTTTTAAGCCGGTGCGGAGAGGGAGTTTAGTGCAGTACTTGTAGTTCTTACTCTCAGAGTAAATGAGAAATCCAACCGCCTTTCAGTGGGCATACACATAATGCTAAGCGTTTGTGAGCAATCAGCCTAATTCCGTAGACTGAGATTTATGCGTGGACGCGACTTTTCGAAGCGTGGGGAGCCGCCGCAACTCGCCTTGGTGACCAAGATAGATGCTAGTTGTTTTTGTCGTCGGTCTTGATTCTTTTTGCGTGTTTTTTCTGGCTTCAACCGAAACATTCTCGGGCTTTAAAAGCCAACGAGGCAAGCTCCGAAGCAGGACAAGAGGGGCACTTATGCAACAAAGCTCCCGTGCGATCTGCCTCCTGCGTAACCCCTGCTGATGCATCAAACATGTACACCAACGGTTGTGCAGGCTGGCGCCGGAAAAGATGGGTCGGACAAATACAAAGCAGTCACGCCCGACCGAGAGGGCCTTGGCAAGCACCAAGGACAACACGAACGGAGGCGTCCCTTCCCCAGTAGTCTACGCAGCACAATTGATTAAGCACATGGGATAAAGTATTCAATTCGTGCTTTGGGGTTAGGGTTACAGGGTCTGCGTGTCCCTTCCCTATTCTTGTCCTAGGTACTCTTTATCATCCTGCGTAGGCGGTCCCCCTTCGCACGGGTTTCCGTTCGTTCCCGCCCGTATCACGGGAGATGATGAAGCGTTCGACTGTATCGAAACAAGTCTTTCGGTCATGTCTAGGAGGGGCACAGTGGTGGTGGTCCCGATCCACGCTGTAAAATCACTTGTCACGGTCTTTACGTACACTAAATCTATGTATACGTTCCCTAATACTCATAAGTGCGGTATCCCGATACACCGCGGTAAAAAATCGCTTGTCACGGGATAATTATACCATACCAAAAGAAGTATATGTTTCCCCAATACTCAAAAGTGCGGCGTCCCGATATGCCGCGTTTGTTTTTGCTTGTCGCCACGCCACCGTACATAGAGACCATCAGTGTACATCAATAGAGATGGCGATGGTTAGTGGTCCCTAAACCAGGTATCCACGCAGCACTCGCATCTATTAATTTTCTACCCATGTCTGTGCTTCCTTCGCCTGGATCTGTCCCTCCCGCCCCCTCCGCCCGTGGCAGGACTTTCACAAGCCGTTCGACTCTCCAGCAGTGCTCGTCGTGGGCCACCAGACCAGCGGGAAGTCGGCGTTGATAGAGGCCTTGATGGGATTTCAGTTTAACCAGGTATATGTTTCCACTTGATTGGATTTCAGTTTCACCAGGTGAATTTTTCCACACGGTCGTCTTACGACAAGGGCGTGTTTGCTTGGCGTGATCGAGACGAAGATATCTGCCTGGATAATGCTGTGTTGCATGTATGGAGGAGGGCTCGAAGGAAGGACTAGGACCATCCCTTTCTGCGTTATTTCAAGGCTCTCTTTGCCGTCCAATATGATCTCCTATGAACGAATATAGTCTCCATGTGTTTCTTGCTTCGAACTAGCTATTTCTGGCGACAGCCAGTAGCGGACCTATGTACAACATCTTTCTCGTGCCCCCCTCCGGAGGCGGGGGGAGCTCGCCGGTACAGGATCGATACGCCATGTCCGGAGATCGGCAGGCTAGCCATGGCCCGCGTGCTCAACACCTACACAAGATTGCACAAGATATCACACCCCCTGGACCGGTTTCAAAAACTCGACTGCTCGGCAGGAAAGGCAGCGACGGTGCCGAAAAGGATGGCGTTGAAACCGTCTCGTCGAGAGTTTTCCGACAACGTATCATTTCAAATCGGCATCCTCTTCGCCATGGAGTATTGTAATCGAGCTTTGAAGATCGGTCCAGGGGGGGTGGTATCTTGTGTCATGCCATCGATAATAGTAGCTGTTGGGACTGGCTCCTTTTTCCGGGGACGTGTTCCACGAAGAGAAGGCCGGGCGTACCAATGTTGAAACCCCAAGAAGGCGCCCCGCGTTGAGGGTGCCCCAAGAAACACAAAGACGAGTGAAGAGGCTAGAAAAAGATCTCCAGAACAGATTGCCGGGATATGCATCCACACAAGGTGCAGCACACCACACAGCAGTTGCATGATCGTGTAAGTATTCACACCATCACTCCCCCCGCCCCACCCCTCCCGTCAACACCGCTGTGCCGCCTCTTCTCTCACCACTCTGTTCCGATCAGTCACAACCCAACATCAACAGAAACGTCCCACGCTCTGGTCTTTGACGTGCACGCCATTACAACAAACGCCATTGGTTTTCTTTCACGTTTTGCACCCCAGGTCGGCGGCGGGACCAAGACTCGGCGGCCGATAGCGTTACGGATGCAGTACAACCCAGACTGCGACCAGCCTCGGTGCTACCTAGCGCTCGAGGACGGAAAGGAGGAGCCGCGCTCCCTCCAAGAGATTCAGGTACGTCGTTGTTAATGGTGTCCGCTGTGTTTGTTGCGCAAAGTTCCAGGTTGGTGTCTGTGGCTGCGCTGTGTTTTGTTGCGGTAGGACGGGGAATGCCTCTACCCACTCCCCGGGGGCTCCGTGTCTGCGATGCATCGCGTATTTTTTTTTTTGCTTCAAGTGGTGCAGCCCGCCGTGGGGGGNGGGGGGGGGGGGGGGTGCCGAGACGTTTTCGACACGCATACTTTGTGTGTATGTGATTCGTGCCAACTGCTGTTGAGTCTCGAAGGCGGGGGTACCGGTGTTGCCAGGCATTCGCCCATCTGCGGAACCCCCCCTCCGCCTCCCTTCCTCTGAACATGATGGATACCTGTTTCATTTCGTTCATTCTGGTTTGCTTTTACCCTTTTTCTTCTCTGAAAACGTTTTTTTTTTTCCAGGCGTATATCGAGTCAGAGAACCGCAGGCTGGAGAGAGATCGGGTGCGATCGTTCGACTCGCGCGAGATCAACATCCGCATGGAGTACCGCTTCTGCCCCAACATGATCCTCATCGACACTCCGGGTCTCATCCACGCCCCGTCAGGGAACAACCTCAACGCGGAGCAACGCGCGGTCGCAGCGGTAGGAGGGAGAGAGAGACAGAGACAGAGACAGACAGAGAGAGAGAGAGAGAGAGAGAGAGAGAGAGAGAGAGAGAGAGAGAGAGAGACAGACAGACGGAAAGACAGAGAGAGGTTTGCTGGTACTGCTGTTGTTGTTTTCTGTATCCATGCGAAATGTTCGTTACGAGCTCTGTCCGGTTCCTCGCATCGTGTCCGTACACTCGAAGGAAATCAATAGAGTATCCGTATCCCCAAGTACCGTGATACAATGACGTCGTCGACAAATTCCTCACCACTCGAGAACATGCTTACTACGTCTCCTAGAGCAACGTGGTTCGAGGGAGAAGTAGAACAAGTTATAGGGCAGACAAGGAGTACCAAACGGAGGTTGAGTGCCACCCTAGGCAGGGAATGTTCATCGTCTGTTCTCTTTGCTATGCCGACGTTGTCGTGACAAACCGGAATTTAGACGAATCGCGTTTTACAACCTGGGCCGCGATGTTGGTGGGCTGTTGTCTGCCTCGTTTTATCAAGGCGGCTAAGGAAGCGGAGAACTTGGTGATCCAGAAGATGCGCTGCCAAGACTACGTGATCCTCTGCGTGGAGGACACCACGGACTGGAAGCACGCTACCACTCGAAACATCGTAACTCAGGTGCGTTTTTTCACCATCGCTGTTGTTGTTGTTGTTGTTGTCGTTGTCATCGTTGTTGTTGTTGGCGGTGGTCTTACCGTATATGACACGAGATAACACACCCCCTGGACCAATTTTCAAAGCTCGATTATGCGACAACGAAGATGATGCGTAAATGAAACAATACATTTTCGGAAAGCTCTAGATAAGACAGCTTCAACTCCACCGTTTTCCGCGCTGTAACTCTTTCTACCTCTTTCTGCTGCCGAGAAAACGAGATTTGAAAATCGGTCCAGGGGGTGTGTTACCTTGCGTCATCTACGGTAAGTTCGAGCTTTGCAAATTGGTCCAGGGGTTGTGTTATCTTGTGTCATCTACGGTAAGTTATCGTTGTCGTTGTCGATGTCGCTCTTTCTCATTGCCTGTCTGTCTGTTTTTCTGTCTGTCTGTCTTAATCTCTCTCTCTCTCTCTGTCTCTCTCTCTCTGTCTCTCTCTCTCTGTCTCTCTCTCTCTCTGTCTCTCTCTCTCT